CTATATATTTAAAAATATATATCATCGACTCAGCCATATTCCAATCACTTGATACCTTAAATATATTTACTATCATGAACTCTACATATGTCATTATTATGTTTTTTAAGGCAACATTATTAGTTTATGCTAACATCACCATACGTCTTAGTTTATTCTAACATTACGCATAGATCCAAAAACATGTTAAACAAAATATTTATTATGAATAACCTATTTAATTTAAGTTATTAGATGAATACATGATAATGGTGAATGCTGGTAAAATTTCAAAAATGATACACCAAGTTGAGCGTTGTCAACAAAATAGATATTTGTTGTTCCTTGCGGAAAAGAAACATGTAGTTGGCAATTTGGTCAGAAAAGATACATTAATCACCCCCACCTGGATAAAAAAGCTGGCGTGGTCGGATTAGGTAGTGACGTGGCATTATTACTTTCTTTAGTTTTATACGTGTTATATACGTGGCGTGATGTGACATCATTATCTCAAAATACACAATACACATATATAAATAAAAATAAAATAAGATAATCCAAAAAAAATAAATATAAGACACCTCAGCAAAAAAAATAAAAATAAAAAAAAATAGAAAAATTAAAAAAATCCAAAAATAAAAAAAAAAATATATTTCGTTCTATTTCCTTAACTATATATTAATAAAATATTTTTAAAATTATATTTCGTTAATATATATTAAAAATCATTAAAAAAATAAAAAGTACTTTGTTAATATTTTGTTAATAAGAATATTTTGTTAATATTTTATTAAATATAAATATATTTCGCGAATATATATTAAAAAATATTTTGTTAATAATAATAATTATATATAATTTATTATTAATTATATTATTTAATATAGTAGTTTACATAAATTATATTTACTTAATATATATAAGTATTAAATATAAATATAAATCACAAAATATAAATTTATATTAAAAATATATTTTAATTTATTTCAAAAATATATATCTAAAAATATTTATTTTTATTTACTTAAATATAAATTTATACTTGTGATTTATATTTATATTTAATATACTTATATATATTAAATAAATAAAATATTATGTAAAGAATTATATTAGATAGTATAATTTATTATATATAATTATTATTATTAATGAACTTTATTTTTCTTTTTTTTAGTATTTTTTAATATATATTAGTGAAATATATTTATATGAAATGAAATATTAACGAAATATCTATATATTTTAAATATATATTAACAACATATTATTTTTTTAAATATTTTATTAAAATATAGTTGACAAAATAGAACGAAATATATTTTTTCTATTTTTTTATTTTTCTTTGGATTTTTTTTTCTATTTATTATTATTATTATTTTATTTTTTCTGATTTGTTTTTATTATTTATTTATTTTTGGATAATTTTTATTTTTATTTATGTATGCGTAGTTGTGTACCTAGAAAGAAGAATGACACATAACGCCACGTATATAACACGTAGGAAATTAAAGAAATTTATAATGTCACGTCATTATCTCGACTACTTCAGTTTTTTATCCAGGTTGAGTGATTAAAGTATCTTTTCCGACCAAATTGTCAACTAAATATTTCCTTTCCGTGAGGGACAACAAAATGTATGTTTTGTTGACAACGCCAACTTAGTGTATCATTTATGAAATTTTGCCGGTGAATGCTTAACAAAATACTTGAATCATATTAATGTCAATAAAAATTAAGCATTATTATTGGTGAATGCTTAACAAAATACACCCAAACTTACCAAGATACTCGAGGACAGAATATGAGTAATTCACGCTATAAATCTCATATTCAAAATTTGTGTATTGTTCTCTCATATTCAAATCCGATGGTGGTGTTGATTTCTTGCATGACATGCACACTCAGGAGTTCTTAAATAGTATAAAATGTTATGATGTTCCAAATCATGAATTGCACTTAAAGGTTGGGACTTATGTCATGTTGTTGAGAAACATTGACCATTCGATTGGACTGTGTAATGGAACACGCTTGGTGATATCGAAGCGTTTCACTCACGTGTTTGAATGTAAGATTCTAACAGGATCAAATCCTGAACATAAGGTATT